CTGAACTATTGAATTTCAGTAATTTTTTTCCATTATTTACTAAATATAAGACTTGATTTGGCAGGGAAATTAGATGTAGCAAAATTTAAGCAGATTGCAAATAACATTGTTTTACTCTTTCATTGACAATATTCTCATCAGAGCTATTTAGCGAGTTTACCAGTTCAGGCCAACTTCAGTGCCACTAATAAAGGTTGGTAGATCTTTGTTCTAACATTAACAGAGCACTCACCAAATCGCAGAGGGCACCTCCGTCCTTGGCCGCCAGCTCTGAGGTCACTGCTGCGTCGGGACACATCACTCCTCCAACGCGCATCGACTCGGCGAAATCCACTATGTTATCGTTTGTTACATCCCCATCGAAGTCCCCGCACAAACCGGTAACCAGGCCCCGGTACTTGAAACGAAGATAGATCTTCGCCATTGTGCCTAGAAGCAACAAAACGTGTAATTCTTTTGGGCTATGACTTCAGAACACACCATGTCCTGCAAAGTGATAGAATAATCCACACAAGCAGAAGGGACTGAAAAACGCCTCTTTGATTACTGTTTAGTTAAATTAATAAGGGAATATGCAAATGGGGACTGAAGTATAGCAATCCTTTTGGCATTCTTTATGTACAAATATCACTAGTACTTAGGAGGAAATGGAGCAAGAGGGCGTAAGAGGCAGTCTGACACTGAGGGAAAATGAAAAAGGAACAAGAAGATGCTTTTCAATTTGGCAACTATATTAGTTAGTTCGAAGGAAACTTTGTGTGAAAGGATACGTTAATTGGACCCAAGGGAAACTTCGAAATTCTTAGCCCAGACGCATGCAATTTTCAGGAGACTCTTGGAAATCCAGTACATATGTTTACGAAGCTACACAAAGATAAATAAACTTATGATCATATTCTTTCCTTACGTTGAGTTATCCCTAAATTATTAACGGGCCGAAATCGCATGATAAAAATATATTAGATATCGTGGACTTATCCTATGATTTGCTGTCTGTTAAAATTAAATCAGCCCTGAATAGTTGCATTAATTAATTTTAATTAAACTCAGTCTTAGACAATTTTAGGCCAATTTTTTTAATTTGGAGCAATTCATAAAGTTTTTGAGGGATAAGTTGTATGATAGAGTTATTCTACGGGTGAGTAATACGCATTTAAGGTTACTTAAAAATGTTGCTATAGGATCCAGCACATAAATAAGTTAAGAGGGGAAATAAGAAGAAGAATTTAAAGGGGAGGAAATAGTGTGACACTATTTTACATTCCGAAGGAAAAATTGTTTTGAAAGAACTCGTGGTGTTGTCTCTCCGGGAACCAAGGGAAAAGGTTGCCGGCTGCAATCCTAGTCGCTTTTCTCTTAATTAGTACAGTTTTGCTCCATTTCGTAAAGTATGTATCCTTGCTCTGATGATACCCGTCAAGGTGGTACAGACAAAAGCTTAGCACAGGTTCATCGGGGTAGCCTGATGGTGAGTAGAGGACTTCTTCACACAATACAACAGTCTTGCTACGCGACAATCCTCTTTCGGTTTCCAGAGAGCTCACACCGCGTGTTCTTTCCAATCAACTTTTCCTTCGAAATTGAAAATAATGTCACAATATCTTTTAAACTGCAGGAAAACCTGTCCAGTCTAATGGACTTTAGTAGCAAATTGGACCTATCAAAAGGTCTTTTTCGCCAAGTTTGGTATTAAAAAACTCAAGCAATAACTAATAGTACAACCCAAAAGTTTATCGATGGGATCTCAAAGAAGGCTAGAAGGGACATTGACTAACAGATTATTCATCTAAATTAAGACCATGTAGAAATGACAATCTAGACTAGGAAGCATAATACCCTCATAAGAAAACGTAGATAATTTGAGAAAAATTATTGAAAACAGATTACGGAGTAGTCATAGTTTTTAATTGAAATTTTTTAAAATCAAAGATGATTTGAGAAATTATGAGACTTAAATTTTGTATCCCAAAAGGCCCTCTTAAAAGCATGCTGTTTACACACGAAAGGTGGCCTAGGAAATCTAAATAAGTTTCCTAAATTTAGAATTATGGAGAACATTAAATATAGCATTGTTTTGATATGAACCGAAACCAGACTAGGGTAATCCCTCTCTAATGCTTTAATTCGGAGTATAACTGAAAGTCAGAAATAGTGACAGATAAGTTGTTTGCTAGATTTTTCCAACAGGTGAGGGCTAAGGACAAGATGAATTAGTCTATAAAGGTAAAGCACGAGCGAAACTAGAGAGCATTAAAGTAAGGGTTAAGGAGCGAAATTGATTAGGCAAGAAAGCAGTAAAGCCGTCCAAAACAGCATGATTTACTAACTAGTGAAGATAAGATAGACATTATAATGTTAAAATTGATAAGTTTTACCAATACTTTTGCATGGGAAAGGAGTGAAAAAGAGTCTCAGGTTATATGAGATGTATTCACCCAATTTTGTTAAGGTGAATACGGACTGGTAGATTACTTTTCCCACAATGAT